TCTACAACAGTGGCACCATATAGCATTTGTCCCTTTGTGACTGAGATACCTCACTCAGCATAATGTCCTCCAGGTTCACCCATTTTGAATAATATTGCATGAGTTCCTTATTTTTCAATGCAGCATAGTATTCCATTGTGCGAATATACCACAGCTTCTCTACCCATTCGTTTGTTGATGGGCATTACGTTTCTTTACAAATTATCATAAACCTAGCAGCTTCAAACAATACTCATTTGTTATCTGTTTCTTTAGGTCTTGAGTCCTTGTACAGCATAGCTCAATCCTTTGATCAATGTCTTACAACTAAAATCAATTGAAGTTCAAGGCCCTGTTCTTTTGTCTGTCCTTAACAGTTCAGATTGTTAGCATTTTCAACTGTTGTGTGAACTTCTAATGCAAAGACACTCGAGGTGCTTCCATAGCTTCTGTTCATTGGGAAGAAAGAAATGGTTGAAGATTGCAAAATTCATCTAGTCAGGAGTTGAGTGCTATTAAGGTAGTTCTGGAACTTAGAAAAATAATAGAATCTAATAGGGAAATAAAGATCTGACTAAAATATTATGGAATTTTATGGAATATTTTATGGACAATCATGGCTATCACTGAGAAAGGACCAAATTATGAGAGGACTTAACGGAAAATTATAGTGGTTTCTTTCCTCCTTATCCTGCCTTTTGGGTATGTACATATTGTTACCATTGAATCTCAATTGGTTGATAGCCGAAAATCACATGGGAGGAAACTGTCCACCTTCCTACCTTAGAGCAGCTGGTAGATTTGAATCTCCAGAGAGATGAGGCCTCTGGATTAGCAGTGCAACTTCCTACAGAGTAGGTTATCAGAGTTTCCTGCCTTCTGGGAAGAGAAAATACTTACTAGAGAAAAAAAAAAAGAATGTTGCTACCCCCCTTACTTGTCTTACCACCATTGCTGCCCTTATAGATATCCGGAAGCTTGCTAAGGGTGACAGACTGCAGTAGAGTATGTAGTGATGAAAGCACAGATGGAAAGAATAATCTTCATCAGAGAAGGTATATTTGGGACTTCTGGATGGAAATTCAATTGAGAAAAAAATAAGACATTAGATTAAATATTTAAATGCAGTATTGTTCTCAGCTTCACAATCAACACTCTTGGTACCAGCAGTGAAATTAAAAGATGAATTGCTCCAGAGAAGGCTGCTGTCAGGGACCACGCAAAAGTACTGAAGAGCAACAGTGTCAGTCTGGAAACCAAGGTATGCCTGATTCAGGCCATGGTCTTCAAAATTACTCGCTGTATATCAGAGAGCTGGACAATTACCAAAGATAAGATGACAAAAGAATTGATGCTTTTGAGCTATGACGCTGGAGAAGAGTATTGACCATACAATGGACTGGCAAGAGAACAAACAGTTTATCGTGGAGAAGGTGAAACAGAAGTTGCTCTTTGTGGGGAAGTTTTTGAAGCTTGTCTCATAAACTTTGGACATGTGGCCAGGAGGGACCAGTCCCTCGAGAAGGACAACATACTTGAAAGAGAGCAGGGACAGCACAAGAGAGGAAGCCCCTGGATGAGATGGATTGATGCAGTAACTGAGATAATGGGGTAGGTGTGTCAGAGACAGTGAGACTGGATCAGGTTAGAGCAGAGTTCGGAGCTATTGTACATAGGGTTACTATGAATTACAGATGACTCGACGGCATATAACAATAACATTGTTCTTAATATATTTCACAAAGGAATTTCTGGAATTTAATCCCTCATTAATAAATGACCTTTACCAAACTTTAAAATCCCAGTTTGAATAGCATATTTTTTTTCTCAGCCTGATGCCTAAAATGAGACAATTGGATATTTAAAAGTCAGATAATAGAGTATTAGTTATGGAACTATTGCTAAAATGCATACTGTCTTTGCTTTTCTAAAATCTGTATTATCAAAACCGTTACAAAGGTGACCACTATTATAGATTTTTCTCTCCTCTCATCGTCTAATCAGAGCCAAGTCATAGCTGACCCTTCGCTAGGTTTTAGAGGCTATAAATCACATGAGAGGTGATTGCCCACCTTTCTTCCTCAGAGCCACTGGTGGATTTGAATCACCAGAGAGTTAGCATCATACTTCTTTAAGGACTGCACCATCAGAGTTCCTGTTTGCTTTCTTGTGTCTCTTAAATTGAAACCAAACCATAGCTGCCTCTCTGTCGGGTTTTTAGAGGCTGTAATTCACACAGGAGGAGATTGTCCATCTTTCTCTCGTGAAGCAGCTGATAGATTCAAACCTTTGCAGTGTTGATCTTGACCACTAAGCCTCTAGTGCTCCCTGTAATTGTTTAGACTTGCTTTATTTTACATTTCTTTGTTTTATCTTCAGGTTTGATGAGGCGGCACTGTCTATTCAGAAAGAAAAAAATATTTATAAGGAAATTGAGAATTATCCAACTTGTTATAAGGTATTCTTTAAATGTCTCCTTTAGCTTTCTATTAGATAATGTTTGTATATTGTTGTAAATAGCTACCCGAAAGGGGGATTTTGTGTCTTATACTTATGGCTGAAATAGTATAGCTCTTTCTTGCTGATTGTAAATAAAAGTTCTGAGCTGAACACTGCCAAGGAACTCTGGAAAGTAATAAAAGCTGGTGTGAAACTTAGAGAGGCTTCCAATTTGAGAGTGAGTTTCCCAGATTTTATCCTTTGATTATGCAGCGTGACTCCACCTAAGAAACCCATTCCTTCTAACCTGAAAAGCTAGAAAAGAAGATCCCATTTTCCCTCCATCTTCTGCCTTTGAAGCAAGGGCGAGCTCTAGTTCTGGTGCTCCAGCAGCTAAAACAGCAGAAGAATTATAATCTGTCTGCTAGAGGAACTGAGAGAACAAAGGGAAAATCTCAGAAAGTAGGGGGCTTGAAGTAGGCCTCTTCAGTTTTTATGTGATCTCCATAAGATTAGGTGTACTCCTTACTCATATCCACTCAAAGCAAAGGATAAACCGCCATCAAAGTCCCAGACTAACAATGGTGCATGCATAAAGTAGACCCAGATAAGATACAGACAGAGCCTTGAAAACGGCAATAAGATTTAGCCCACTGGCCAAATCTCACATGCAGAGCCGACCTAGAGTCAAGTAGTAAGGACTGAACTAAGATGAAAACTGACTCCGCAAACATGAGCCTGAACGTGAGTCAAAATTCTACTTAGGGTGAATGCCAGCTCAAAAGAAACATCAGTATTCACCCAATACATAGCAGAGTCTTTTTACTAACATTCAAAAATGGTCTGGATGTAATCTCAAATTACTTGATATACAAAGAACCTGGATATTTGACCAACATTTAAGACAATTGTGAGACAACTCAGATAATCAAATTATCAAAGACCTCAAAACATCTTTTGTAACTGCTTCTTGATGTAAAAGTAAACACAGTTAAAATTAATAGTTTGAAACAATTAAGTAAATGGAAATTTTACATAAAATGCTGGATAGACTTCTTTTCATAACAGATGATAGAGGACTCACTAAGCATGAAGAAAGATAGCCATTATGTAAAATATAAAAATTGAAAAATAGTATATGAAGAACTGCTTGCCAATAAGATCTTACCAATAATATTCTCGACCATCTTACTGGTTTTGCTATTAATTTATAAATGGTGTCATTGTTTTTCTTATCCTGTTTTATTCATGCATCCTTTATCAGTTGTCTCTTTGAGAATTCCAAAGTATACCAAACAAACAAAAGAGTAAAAAAAACTCATTACATTCCCAACTAATGTTGACTCTTTAGAAATTTCTCAAATATAGGAAAGCATCTTTCAGTTACTCCTTGAATAATTAGTTTTGAATGAAAGACAAGATCGCTTGTGATTACAGAATGATGTTTACTTAAAAAAGAATAATTCCGAAGTTTAGTTGTGGAATTACAGGCTTCCATGCCCCCCTTTATTTCTTCCTTTTTCAAGATGAAATCAAAATACAAATTTAAAAGACATTTTCTTAAAAATGCATATTGTTTTCTGAGACTGTTAACTCTAAGAGTAATCCTTAGGCCAGCAATGTTAACTGAGAACTTGTTAGAAGTGGCAGAATCTGAGACTAACTGTGCCTACAAAATTAAAATGTTGGTTTTGACAAGATCTTGGTGATTTGTAGGTATGTAAGAGTTTGATAAATACTGTCTAGGATATTTCCCATTTTCTGTCCTGTAGAAATAATTACAGAATTTAAATATCTCTGTGTAACCTGAACAAGACTCCGAATATTAAGTTCTAGGTATTTTTATTACTGCCAGGATATTACTTTATTCTGTAGATATAAGTTTGCCTCATCGTCACCTTTTTTGTTCTAGAAAACAATTGCTCAAGTCCTCGTTCATTTACACAGAAATGATTATGTAGCTGCAGAAAGATGTGTCAGGGAAAGCTACAGGTAAGACATGGGGCTTTTTATCATAACTTAATTATCATTTGTTTTTTAAGCTAAGATTGGTGTTTAGACCACATGATCCTAGCTGTGAGAAACATTTGGCTTTTCTTCTAAACTTTCCAGCAGTAAAAAGCATTTAGCTTCCTTTTATGTTTAATAAATGTTTTAACAAGTTGGGTTTTATGTTGTTTTTTTCCTTGGACTTAGACTTCACTTCAGTGGGGTGAATAACTTCAATGATTTGTTTTCTTTACTTTCTATAGACAAAAAGAGCAACAAAAATATTTTTTAGGTTATATGCTGCAAGATGATGGTGGGATTTTAAGATAGTATGGAAGGCAGTTTGGCATTTCCTCACAAAACTGAACTTGAAAATCCCATATGCCTAGTTTATCCATTGCTAGTAATATATCCCATGGAAGTCAGAGCTCAGACACAAATGGAGATATGTACACCTTATTTTATAGCAGTTATTCAAACAGCAAGGATATGAAAATACCCCAAATGCCCATCAGCAAATGAATGAGTTGAGAAATTGTGGTACATTCACACAATGGAATACTCTGCAGCACCAAGGAACAATACTATATAACCTCTAAAGTCTAGAGAGCATTATGTTGAGTGAGTTAACTCAGTCTTATAAGGACAGATACACGATAGGGCCATTATTATAAAAATAGATAACTGAGCAAGAGGTGTATAGATGTTCCAAAGGAGAAGGGGAGAAATCATTAGGAAAGCAGAGGTGAGTGGGCAGATAGGATAGATAGGAGAAAGAATAGGAAAGGCTCAGTAGGGACTCAAAAAGACAGGGTGATAATAGGCATAGATTGATAGTAATTAATTATATAAAATACAGTGTAGATGAATGTTTAAAACATAATGTTCATGAATGAAATACAATGTATATGAATATCGTATATATGAATGATTGCAAGATAATTTTTAGAAGTTAGCTCTAGATAGAGCAAAATGTATATTATGTTCCTTAATATATTTTTTCCTTAAAATAATTTTAAGCAATCATGTAAAATAACACTGATCCAAAGCCCCAATATCAGCATGAAAGTAAATTATGCTGTTATAAACAGAAAATTTAAAGAAAAGGTTAGAATTAGTAGTATTCTTATTAGATGTTAAAGAGCAGGCTCAATACTGTTGACATTTGGACTTGGTATGGATAATGATATTCTGTGAAGGGCAGCCCTGTGCTTGTGGGTACTTAACAGTATCCATACCCTCCACCCACTAGCTGTCAATAACATCCCTTCATTTATAACACTCAAAAATATCTCCAGACTTTTCCAGATGTTCCCTGAGAGAGAAGATCATCCTGAGTGAAAAATCTTTGTGTTAGGTAAATGTGGGGAACGTGAATTGTTTTTATTGTAGCATACCGGGATTCAATGGAAGTGAAGACTGTGCTGCACTGGAACAGCTTCTTGAAGGATACGACCAGCAAGACCAGGATCAAGTCTCTGAGGTCTGCAATTCTCCACTTTTCAAGTACATGGATAATGATGTAAGTTGGCCCTTTTAGCTTTCTTATTTCCTCTTGAAATGAGAAAGTTTTTAATAAAGTTCTTTTTTTTTCCTTTGTACTTGTAAGATTTTCTGCCTATTTTTCACCTCAAGATTTGTAACTTTAAAAAAAAAGATTTGTAACTTAGGAAGGAACCACTGCTGCTGCATTTCACTGTAGGTTTAGGGTATTTGGATGTTTACTGATAGAAATAACTGGGTTGACCATATGCAGCATTTCAGGTGTAGCCCATTCGTTCTCTTGTCCTCTATAGGTTCAACAAGTTTTCATCTAACCACTTACTTGGTATATAAAGTTTCCTTTAGGCTTACTCTGTAAAAGAGATTTGTTGTTCTTATGTACCATGAAGTGGATTTTCAGAGACAGTACATCGCTTGCAAGGAGAATGCCCATCTTTCTCAGAACAGTTGGTGGTTTCAGACTGGGTGCCTTTGGTTTGGCAGCACAACTTCTTACCTTTAGGCCACCAGAACTCCAATATAGTAGCCTTTGTAATTAAATAGATTTATTAGAATCCCACTTTAGTGACAACCAGCTATATGATGCAAGTTATTAATTAAATATTTCTAAGCCTCAATTAACTCATCTTCTTTTTAGAAAAAAAAAAACCAAAACACAACCAAATTTATTCATTGCCTGCCCTCAAGTAAGAACTGACTCACAGTTAACACTCCAGCGGGTTTTGTTAGGCTGGAAATCACACTGGAGATGGCGCATCTTGCTCCCACAGAGCCACTGTCACATTCAGACCTCCAGAGAGACTATCTATGGACTACATGACCATAGCTCTCTAGCATCTGAAAAAGTGGAGTTGATAAAACATATCTTACAGGACTGTGGTGAAAAATAGATGCATCAGTGTGAGAAGAAGGTTTTTCTTTCAGTGAGCCATGGATATGAACTTCTATTTCCCCCCCACCCCCCCTTTTTAAGTAGATTCGTGAGCACTTGATTTGGTGTTGCAGCTTTAGAGTTCGTAGCAGCAGACCCAATTTTTGTAATGGTTGATGTAGGTGGATTTTTTCCCCCTGAATAGATTCTTATGTAGGCCATAGGATTTTGTAAACTTGTGTTTATTTTTTTTTTAAGACAAATCCTTAGCTTACACTCCTAAACAAACTTTCTTTGAAAGTGTTCTGTCCAGATTATCCCATATTCTCAAATATGTTATATAATTGACATTCTGACCAGCTGTTTTGGCCCTGTCCTATGTCAGGGTCATAAATTATCTGACAGATATCTGACATCAGAGCAATGTGGAGTTGTTTGTCTTTAATATAAATGGTAAAATTGCTTTCATTGTAGTAGAGATCTGGGATCTATAAATAGGCAATTGTTGCTGAATCTTTTCTAAGGATTCTCATTATCTAGCTTCTAAGAATATATTTTATCATTGGCAGTATGCTAAACTGGGCCTAAGTTTGGTGGTTCCAGGAGGGGGAGTGAAGAAGAAATCACCAGCAACACCCCAGGCTAAAACTGCAGGCTCCATGGCCACAGCTGCCGAAGAGGAGGAAGACGAGTATTCTGGAGGACTGTGCTAGCGTTTTACTTTTCAGCAGTGAGGAGAAAGAAAAGGAAGAATTCTAACATGTCCTTTCATGGACTTGGAACTTTGGATATTCCATAAAGTTGTTACTTGAATGCTAGTAAAGACTAATTTTTAGTTAATATTTCCTAGAATGACTCTTCTGTATCCACTTTCCATGATGCATTTTTCTTTCCATAATAAGAAATTTGTTACGGCACCAGCAGAAATAACAGAAAATGTCTTGGCATGTTTTAGTGCACTTGGTTCTAAAATGTTTGAGCCAAATGATATTCTAAGCAAATAGGGCAGTAGTCATAGATTCTCTTCTCTTTGGGCATTTATAATTTCTTCTTGAAGAAGTTTCTTTTTATGTTATTTTAGAATTGCTGTTAAAAGTGAATTTTACTGCTAAAAAATAACCTTGAAAGTTGTTTTGTGTTTAAAAATTTTAACTTGAGATGGATTTTACATCCACCTAAATTAGGAAATATTTTCAAAGGTAAGATTGGAACAGAAAACTATTTCAAACATTACCAGGTTATTTAGCCCAGTAAAAGCTCCAGTTATACATGAGTTTGTAAAATATGAATTAGATATTGAATCATTCTGTAAATGTCTTCAGTTCAAAGGTGTTTCTTTCATATTTAAAAACACAAAGTGACTCCCAAACTCATTTGATTCTTAACTTGGATGCTATGAAGACGTTTCCCTTCATACTATGTGAGAAGCAGTACTTGCATCAGTGCTGATGTGTACATTTCTTTTCTCCAAAATGGTTAGATTTATGATTTGTTTAGTTGTAGCTATTGCATTTGTAACACAGACATGGGCAATACTGTATACTACAAAAATTTAGAATGAAAGAAAAATTATTTTTGAAATACATATATTTAAAATGTTATGTGGCAGATGGTTTGATCCTTTAATAATTTCCAAAAATAATATTTTTTAAGAATTTCTTTTTTCTCCCTGTGTGGCTTATATCCTTGACTTTCTTACTAACTAGAAAGAGACTCCAGACACCAGAAGTGTGCTCTACATTCTGCAAGCAGATGCTACCCTGTTTCCTGCTTATTTATACTTTGGCTGTTTTTTATGCTTTCAGTGTAGTGTGCTTATTTAATTTTGCTAGCCTTCTAAAACACACTGAAGTTTATTATCACTATATGGTTTCAGTCACAGTTGGTTCTTTGGGAGAGCTTAGACGTCAACCTCATTTGTTAGGTATGCTGGATAGAGAAATCTATTGTGGGCCTGATACAAAACACTAATGCTTTAATTCCTTAAATTACTTGCATAGTTCTACTGATGGCAACTCATTTTCAACAATTCTACCAGTGTTAGTTTTTTTAATTTAGTTTATTTTTCATTTCAATGAACATCTACAGAGATTTTGGAATTCCATTCATTCATTGTTGCACCCTTCTTCCC